AATGAATATTTTTCTTTCACCATTGTCACCTTAATTCAAGGTGAACAGATGACGTTTCGATATTGCGGAACGTATGAAATGATTGATTGACGTTTCGAAATCCGAATATGAGTCACTAGTTTCCCTGCTGCTGCTTTGAGTAATTGCAACAGATCATATGAAAGGCCTTGAAGACGCTGAAAACTAATAAAACCAAACATGAAACTGGATGGTCGATGAAAGCCGGCATAAACTCGCACCGAAAACCCAAAACAACATTTCGACATTTTCAAGAGCCAATTTCCAGTGACTGAATCGTCAGCATATGAAGAACCACATGATTTTCTGATGCGTAGAGAGCCACATTTGGAAACACAGCATATAGAAAACGTAAAAGAAGTACATTGCGAAATAAATTCTCTGAACTTACCGATTCAAGCGATCAGTGGGAAGGAAATACACCTTTGTTAACTGAAACTCACTCATCTCGTCTATGATTTTTGGCGCTTTCCAAAGGGAAATGATAATCTTGCGAATGTATCACAAAAAATTTTTGCTTATTCAACGGAAATCATCAGAGTGCAGCAATTAGATTCACTGTGGGGGTGAATCAGAGTTAAAGAATCGTTCGTTACATGGAACACCGAAGAGAACGCAAAAACGCATTATTGTATTCTAGTCTTAAGAAAATGACTGCCCATGATGCCACCCACTTCGTGGACTAACATTCAGAAAACGCAATGATTCAAGCGCACTTTCCAATGAAAAACTATGATTCACTCATCAACGACAGTGCTGCGTTACCTTGTTTAAGAAAAAAGTCGTCGCTGTATCGAAAAAATACATTTCTTAATAGTGAGTGAGCAATTCGATGTTTTAATTTGGCTGAAACACAGCTTTTTATTCGCTATTTTCTCTCTTATTCATGGAATTCGCACGCAGGCAGCACTTCTTTAATCACCATCCATTTTCATCCATATTCACTAGTATTATCACCACTTTGTAAATGCAGATCAAGAATCAACAGCGAATGTGCGGAGTGACACGAATTTGCTTGATGAACATTAAAAAATAATCCAAAAACAATGGTGGATAAGATCGCTGAGTTCCACTTCAACTTTTTGTTGCCTAACGTTTCACAAACGCTGTTTGAAAAAGTATTGTTGGTCAAATGTGGTCTTAAGAGGCGCAACAGGATAAAATTTCCAGACTACGTTTGGCCAGCGTTCATGTAGTGCCTAGCACATTGGTGCTAGTAAGCTTTACACTGCGCTTATCCAGTACTTTATACTATAATGTGAAAATAAGGGAGTATAGTATGGGAGGCGAATGCGGCAGCAGTCGTTACGATTAATACTATGTTTTGCTGAATAATTCATACTGCTGCGATCATGCAATTAATGACTAATGATGATGATAAGCGAAACGCACTATAAGTTGATCAAATTGTGACTGAACATGAGCACTGGAAAGAGTGCCTGCCATCCAACAACTCGTAATGAGCACATATTTGCATTGAATGTCAATTGATGTTTGAACAGGCTATAAGACTACGACGAATGTTTTGGTCTTGAACATGTCTTATGCTCATAAAACATGTCGTGACTAAAATTACCTGGATTACCTGGATTAGCCAGGCTATCAAACGTTTGTAACGTTGCTGGTCACAATGCTCGCGTTTCCGCGCGCATTGTTTTAGCCTTGATTTTAGCCACCCCGCTGGCTAGGCGAGCAGGCCAAGTGAGCACAACCGAGTATTTAATTAGTTGCCATGAATACTTTGCACAATTAAACGTAGCCAAATACCAATCCGATAAATAATCATAACTCTACAAAATAAGCATTCCGCCGATCGCTAACCGCGATCAACAAAACAACTGCTCGACGTGTAAGTAACAAGTAGTAACCCTGTGACCAAAATATGAATATCTAAAGACAAGAATCTCATCATTGACGGCTTAAAAACTATGAACAGTAACGTGAAATATCATAAGATAGGAACGAACATATATTTGAAGGAGCCGAGAGCTACGAAAGCTTTTTTTTTTCACTTGTAAGCGAAAAAATATTTCGTACAATCAACAGAGTTTTGTTAGCAGAACGTTGTGGATGTTGGTTCACAAGTAAACAAGTAAGCAGCAGCAACTGTGTGCAAGCAAGAACGCAATGGTTCTGATGAACGGCAAGTGCAGCGATGATGATGTAAAACGAGTTAAGAGATGAGCGCAGATGGATGGATGGATACATCAAAAACGGTTCTCGCGTTATTCATCGTTGCTGTCGGCGGTTCGTATCAGCCGAATTCGAAGTAGCAGCACTTCAAAGAACTAAAATAGCGCAAACAAATTTTACAATAGAACGGCACAGACCAGATGTTTTTGAGAAATTCTCGATCTTTCAAATGTTTATTTTGCGAGATGCATTGTCGTAAGTTCACCGAAATTTTTGCCAAGATATACCTTCGTAAGCGTCATTTTATAGTGTCACTGACTTGGTAGACGCATTCAACACATACATTTATTTCATAATGTTAGTTTTAGATATTCGTGCCGCTGAAAGTGGTGTTTCGTCACCGCTAATAAAACTTAGGCTAGAGTTTAGCTCGAACAGCTGTTGTTTGCACTTACACAGTTTTTAGGCATAGCTTCACGGATGTGGGCAATTCAATATTTCCTTGAAATGGTCCACCACTCGCAAACCATACGCTATATTCAAGAGCTGTGTGACAAGTGAGTGGTGGTAAGCGCGGCTGATTTCAGTTATAACATTCATAACTTCAGTTTTCTCAGTTGTGACTTAGAGCGAGCGATTAACGACGATACGAAATAAACAAATCGCCTAGCAAATGATATAAACAAGTGAGATCGTTGTGTGCGATGTGAAACGTGTGACACTTCATCTCTTTTAAAATACATAAGAATAAAGCAAATTGACCAGCAGTGACGCATTTTTTAAATCGGTTCCAGAATGGAAAATTATCCTGCAAGAACACTACCAAAAATGTCATTGATTCGATGGACTTGAAAGCTTTCATCAGATAATCGGACGAAAGCTGGCCACATACTAATCCATCATTTCCTTGCAAGCGAACGTCGTTGCTATGGTCACATTCGTGTCACTGTCAGTTGTGTGCCACACGAGATTGATTCGAACATACCGAAGAAGAATGCTGGAAACAACAGTGAATATCGAAGAATCAAATTATTGCCTAACTAACCAGGATATTATTATTCAGTGATCGCATCAGTGTCGAAATAGCAGTTCGGTTGTGCGGAATTAAATTAAGAGAAGTCTACTCATATGAACTACAACAAGAATTACACGCATCGCTAGGCAAATTACAAATCCTAGATATATTAGCGTGATATCTTCATGATTGGATTAATTGCGGGGGAGAAAATGATTAACTCACGAACGGTACGCTTCCGGATAGGACCTTGACGATATTTCTCATGAACCGTTGGCTAGTCTACAGTTTGGCCGAAGCTTCATCAGCCCGCTAATCAAATACGAGCTGGTTTCAACATAATAATTTCCGCTGTTGCTCTGTGATGTCTCAAATGTTCACAAACGGCCGTAACAACGTCCCTTCATGAATTCTAATTTATTTATTGTTAGCATTTCTTTGTAATTGCTGTTTTGCATTCTTTTTCATGCTGCTGTTAATTCCTACCTACGTTCAAGCATTCGCTTAAAAATGCAAATAAGCGAAATTTGACGAATTGAAACAGTAACATTTTTGCGAATATCTGAATGTACATTTGTTAGATATACTGAGAATATACGTGCCTTTCGATCGTCTGATTGATTCTGTTCTCCATCTTTAGCAATGAAATCATTATTCTGCAAACCTGGCGATTGATGACTTTCTTGTTTTGCTTAGCTAGCAGCATTCATATGCCAGAATGACAATCGATTATAAATCATCATCGTTTATTTTCAGTTATTATAAATACATTTGAGATTACCTTTTCATGATTAATTATAGCAAATAGAAAGCATTCATGAGAAAACGATAAATACGCATAAGTACAGTGAACGGCGAAAAGATTTTTCTAATGTCGAACAGAATATATGATATAATAATAACTCCCTCCTATTAATATGAACATTTAGTGAAGCAAGCAAAAACAACTTCAATTATATCATATCATTGGAAGTGATCATCTTAAATCACTTGGTACAACACAATCATACATGATGATTTTAATAATTCATCCTTTTTGAAGAACGTTGCTGTCTATGATCATGAATGAATAATTCCCTCTGAATTATGAGCTCTTCGTGAACCGATGAAACGTAAAGATTTGGGACAGCATCCGTATACGGTGATTAAAGTGTTGTTAGAGGTGATACAGTGAATCGACAGATGAAAGGATGACACCGTTCATTACTGAAACCACTTTCATCAACACTTATCTCAAATGTGCATTCGGCATTTCAGCACTTCAAATTCGAAACATTATTCAGCTTCATGACGGTTTTGTAGTGCAATTTCAAATTCAACTGAAATACGATACTCACAACAACTGAAAACGTCTTGATCGATTAAAATTGAATTATTCAAAGCAAAAAAATTCATTCGCTCCGAGTTATACTGTATTTATCAACGCGATCCTCAACTAGCACAGATCAATGGTTGGCATATGAACGTACAATATACGCAACAAGTTGACATTAAAAGTCAATTCAATACAATGTTGCTTGTAGACATTGATACAAATGCACAATAAAACATACATTAATACTCCTCAATCCTCAATGGAATCACTTCAGTTTTCAAATCACTCGAATGGCTCTTCTTGCTAAGTTTTCTTCCTTGTCACGATTTTCCAAACGGCTCAAAATGTAGCCAAATAAATCCCCCAAGTGAATGGATACCATTCATCGACTGAAATGTTTTTAGCAGAGAAAAGGATCGCAAATATTCCCGATGAATATTGACTTTCAGATTTCCCACGAGTTCTCAAGTAGATTACATACTGCATCAATGATTCAAAACGGTCGAAATTACAGTCGTTTCATACAACCAATGAGTCATCACTATCAAATTCATCACTATATTGTTTGGTGAGGGGTTTCTTATAGGCAATTTGCTGCAGCTGATATTGTTGCTGTTGTTGATGAAATGGTTGTTTCACCTCGTTATTATGAGGCTTGTCGTTTGTTTCGATTACGGGCGCCAGCGATGGTCGACGTTGAGTTCGTAAACTTGGACATCCCTTCAACAAATATACATTCTCTTATCGTTCAACTGGTTATTTTGGCAGTAATGTGTTCAAATTTTAGATCCGTTTGGATAGGTAGTAACGAGGCTTTAGAGCAGTGTTACATCAATCAAATGATAGAAATAAATGGAAAATCATTTGAAAGGTTTGTTCCGAAAATGTTTTAAGGAGTCAATTGCTTACCTGGCCATCGAAGTCAAAGAAATGTCGAAAAGTGAACTCATAAAATGCTGGATTCGTCGCAGTACCAACTCGTTTCGCCATTGTGTCAAACGACTGATCGCTCGAGTCAACGTCAAACGTATCGAAATTTGACGTATCCTCGGCGTGATCAACGCGTGGAATGAACTCAGCACGAGTGGAACGCAATGTTGCAAAATCGATGCCCTTTAATGAATATTAATTAGTCGGTGACACTGATCGATGAACGACCTTAATACAACATATTAGGCTAATGGTTATCGGGACTGTGGGAAACCGAACTGATTCGCCAAAACATGTACTTGGAAGAAGTTAAACCGTAGAAGATTCATTTTTAACCAAAAGTGATCATAATTTCGTTAATCGATGACGGTTACTTAGCCTCACGGTAACCTCTCTTCGATGAGATAACAACAGTTTAAAGATGTTGATGGGAATAGTATCGCGATGCTTTTCTCGAGAGCGTTAGTTCGTCAAGAACTTAAAAAAGAACGAATCATGTCATGTATCAAAGCGTATGATACACATTGCGAACAAAATACCGAGATGCTACGTGTACAAAGATTCTTAACGTTTAAGAAATCTTTCACCAACAGCATTACATTGGAGTCAGCTCTAGCAATTTCTGTTCATTTCAAACAAATCTACGAGATATGAGATGTGCGCTGCATTATTTAAGAAAGCATTTGCTAATGTATTGTTGAGAGGGTTTGGCTGAATATTAGAAATGAGCAAAACTATCTGAAGAAACCTTGAACCAGTTGTGTTGTTTTATATCTTGTGCACCATTTTCACAGCCCAGACGCGTTTCTTGATCACAGCACAATCGACGAATCACATTTATACACTCAGCCGATAATTTTGCACCAATCGGATGGTTCAAATCCAGAAACTGCCGCCAATTAACAATCTGAATATATTACACATGAACGACTTCGAAGACAGCAGCCTTTGGGCGATTGCTATCTTCAAAGAACAAACATCGCAATGATGGCTATCTCTCTTGAATTAAAAACTGAATTGAGCGAACCTTAAACTGCGTTTCGTAACGGTCACTAGACAAGAACGGTGGTCTACCAAAAACCATCTCATACAAGATAACACCAACTGACCACCAGTCACACAGTTGCGTGTGACCTGAAAAAGAACTTTTGAGTAATTAATGACTGAGCATCTCTGATAGTTCAGAGGATGGAGCCAACAATTACCTGTTCCTCGGATGACTTCAGGTGCCATATAGTTGTCTGTACCCACCAAGGAATGCGACTGATTACGTTTGCAATGGTTTCGCATGTCCAAGACTTTTGGTCGATTTTTACCCATCAAATGTGATGGTATATTGAACGAATCCTGTCGAGAATGATTGCCTTCCACCTTCAAAATCTTGCTATGAATTTTTTCACTTTCCGCGACGCAAACTCAAACATACAAATAAAGCTTCTGGGATTGTAGCAAGCTTTAACTGAACGTGAATGAGATGAAATGAAACCGTTATGGACCGGAAATGTCTTCACTATTCGACTACTACATTGAAACGTTCATTCAACCGGAGCTAAGCAAAATTCGTGCTAGTCTGACGAGTTTAAAATGTCTTCAAAATCCCACTTCATCGCTATCGGGTCCATAGAAGCGTTTATCGTGCGTCCAGCGCAGTCCAGTACAAAGACCAAAATCCGTAAGCTTTATATGACCGTTTTGATCGATTAGAATATTATCTGGTTTGATATCACGATGGATGAATCCAAGCCGATGAACGTATTCGATTGCGCATGTCAATTCGGCAATATAAAACCTGCAAGTAACGACGCAACCGAATGATTCAAAACAGACAAAGTGACGATAAGAGTAAACAATAACTATGAATAATTTTGCAAGGTGAAATTAGTCGAACAAACCTAGCAAGCTTCTCATAGAACACTCCCTTATTGATCAACAACTGCATCATATCACCACCAGGGACGTACTCCATTATGAAATATAATGACTGTTGATCCTGCAAATTCATCAATTACACACGGCTGAATGAATGGAGAACAAGTGCGATGGATACATTAGAGTGGGATTGTGCTTAGCGATGAAGACCCAATTGCTTGATAAGTTGAAAATGAATTCAAAAGTGATAATGAGACATATCCAGTTGGTTCATGAGTCAACTCATTAACCTATATTGCATCTACCGAAACCACAACTCTTGCAGGAATGCACCATATAAAACACGTGTTGAGTGTAACATGTTCACACAAGATCACTCTCCTTATAATGGTATATTTTGGCGGTACCAAAAATTGATGATTCCAAAATGATTGCAACAAAACACAATGGGTAACCTGAAAGGAGAAGAACAATTTCACGATCCACTGACTGTTCGCTTCAGCCAAGATATCGCGTTCAGCCTTCACATGAGCCGCTTGTTGCTTCATAATGACATCCTTCTTCATCAACGTTTTCATCGCATAAACTTGCCCAGTATCTTTCTGAAAAATATGACTTCAAGAAACAACAACAAAGCGATAAGGTTTAATCGTGACTATTCACGCTGTGTTATGCTATCTATATCTAATTAACACTCTCTTTGAAGTCGTTTAACTACAGTACAGCACTATCCTATCATTAATTGCCGCATCCGGACAACCGTCCCTCGATAACTGATATTATTCTTCCTGAGCAAGATTTCATTTGATCATTACTATCACTGCTAAAATCACTACTGCTAGATTATATCCTCATTACTGATATTTTCACTCGTGGACTCAGGCTGCAGCTCATGTTGATTCTCACCCTGAGATTGTGGTTGATACTTACACTCAGTCTGAGTTCCATCTCGTACCGCGGCCGAACCTCAGGTAAGGCTGTGGCTAACCGTGAAAAGGAGTTTTCTAAGGCAATTGGTTATAGGCAAGTTGTCAGGGGCATTAAAGGTGATTTCTCATGAATACCGACACAAATATTTCGTTATCTTACATGCGAACTTCTCCGATGCATTCTTCAAATTTGACTGTCATTCGAAGCCCCTTAAAAAATAAATCCTCTCGCTAGTTCGCTGTCCCTATCACACATAAGATCAGAAATGCTATTTTGGGTGCATTCATATAGATAAATGAATAAACATGTACGTGCGCATGATATTTATTGAATGAAGCGCTTTTTGCTGCATGAAAAAATCAGATAACAGATATTTACACATACAAAACATAAATATATTTCTTTGTTTGTGTGACAGTGCAAAAAAATTGTGTATATATAATGTTTATGATATATTATACGCCGTACGATGTTAGATGCAAGAAATTGCTTAGAAAATATTTGTAGAAATAGTCGTTTCTTTTTTTCGGCAATACCAACAGCTCATTATCACGAAATCGATCAACAAACCTGTACTATCTCTTTAGAATCTTCATGATACTGCATACGCGCGTCAAACAATGATGAATTATTCATAAGTTTGAAATAATAAAAATATGAAAACATCAATAAATGAATGGGTCGTCTCAATTGAGTTTTCAAATATTTGAGCAAATCAAACACAATGAACGTCAGATTAATTGGTTATAGGCAAGAATTCGTCAGATTAATTATAATTGGTTATTGGTTAATTGGTTATTGGTTAACGTCAGATTAATTGTGCAGCACTGAAGTGAGTGTAAAACCTAATCGCAAAATCGAGCAGAGTACAAAAACTGAAACGATCAGCTCATGAAGAATCAATCACACATCTAGAATCACGTAATTGCACATGAAGCTAATCCAATCTAGCACGAAAATTTCTCCACGATGCCCTATATAAACCGTTGAGCTTCAATGCTTCGTTTACTTTAAAAGCCATCCAACTATTTTTGAGAGATAAAAGTAACTATAAAAGTAATCCCTCTAAAAGTAACTATAAAAGTAATCCCTCTAATCCCTCTAAAAGTTCCTTCATCAAGTTACTTTCCGACAATACGTCACTTTGAATAAGAAAGCCTACTGCATCCCGTTCATCATCCGACTGGTATTTGCATGGGTTCCCCCAATGCTGACTTTTGAATCCTGCTACCAATCCCAGAATGTACGTTCTGGGAGATTCGGGATCATGGGATTCGATAAAACACGGCACTTTATATAATTTTGTTAACATGCTCATTTTCAATTAGACATCAGTCATTCTCAGTTCGTTCATCTACCGAGATATCAAGTAAAGATGATGCGTTGTTTCCGAGTTTTAAAATACTATTGTGTGTAGTAAGATTTGTTGAAAGTAATGCTTTTTCAAGTGATCATAAGTGCACTGCTTCAAACGTGACACTCCTCTAGTTCCACACCTGAGCCTCGCGATTACCCCACCACTAAAAACATCCCAGGGCTGGGTTGGTGGTTAGGATTTTGCAAATATTAATTGCAACAAATCAGTGCGAAGAAGCACTGCGGTAAATGTCGCCAACCTTTTTAACGAGCGAAACACGTCCAAATGCCCCGATTCCAATTTGTTTGATCATTTCGAACATATTTTTGTCCATCTTTTGTCGTCGATAACGCAGATATCTTGACTCTTTCTGCGTCAAAAAATTCATCATTTGTTCACGCAGATTTTCTGGCAGATCAGCACATTCCATCTCTTTTGCCAGCTGTAAGCAAAAAAAATAAAGTGTTGGGCGAAAAAGATATTGGAAACATGACGTCGCGATTTCTTACTGATGCTTTACCTGTTCGGCTTAGTAGCACTTATTTTCACAGATCTCTTATCGTGATTTCTTCTGATGAACGCAGCATGAAAGTTGGGATCTATGACCAAAAGTGATTCGAATTCATGAATTATAGATATTCAAACTAATTGAATGCTTCATTTTTTCCTTGGATGACCCATCTATCCCATTGTGAAAACACAAGCCTTCCTGATGTCACTTAAAAACATTCATTCCTTGAAATCTCTCGTTCAGCAGAAGCAGTGACATTCCTAGTCTCGGGAGCATTGCGCATTTATTGCTTATTTTTGCAAAATTTAGCAGTCAGCAGTGCTAAGCAATAAACGAATTTGAACCTGCTGCGCTCGTTGCTGTCGTTCTTTGTATTGTTGTAGAAGTCGTTCAACATGCTGTTCCATATAGAAACAAAACATCTTCGGTCTACACGGCTTCACAGCACTTTCATAGGTTTTGTTTCGTAGTCGGCGAGTGATACTTTCAGGAAGCGGAGAAACGCACCTGACCACACCGTCACTTTCCACATTACCACTGCAATATTTCCAATAAGCTGTTGACAAATTTCCAATGAAACGAGCGTCCAGATCCACCAGTTATAATCTTCAGACATATGCTGCTTCTCCATAGCTGTGAGGGCACTTGGCCTTAGAGCTTACTATGGGGGCTTCACGAAATTTTTAAGATATATGAATCTGAATAAAAATCCCCTCCATCCTAGAAAGAATCCTATTTTTGTCAACGCTTACATGGTTGAACTGGTGCTCACTGGTGGTGAACTCCGTGCTGAATGAGGAGGCGCAGTTGAAGTCCGATGATACGCTTCATGAAGCTGAGTTGAATCAGATGTTGCTGCATTTGCTATCGAATCTCGATCGTTTGTGGTCATAAGGATCGTTCGACGACATAACTTCAACACACATTTCAAATTTGTTACTTTTCGAATACAGTTCAACAAGATGAAATCCTCGATCTCGTACTACTTAGTTATCATTTCGTTCATGGCGATTCGCTGACCACTGCGCAGTCTGTATGAATCTTGTGACGGAAAGCAACTCACTTGATCCACATAATTCGCATAACTTGATGTCGTTATATCTGGATCAACTAATATGCTTTGTATACCAGGCAATCCGGTTCCATTTCCATGCACAGTCTCGTCATTGATCGCATTCAGGTGATACCTGCTTCGACGAATTCCATCACTTGCCTGGAAAATGAAAATACTAATCCACACAGCGATAATTTTCATCTGGATTAAAACTCTCCGAAGAGTGAATTTCCACATTTCCAGATGCGCGTAAGTTTTCAATGAAAGTTGCCTGAGCAATTTGACATTACCATTTGCGATGAATCCACATTGATTTGCAACATTGTATTGTGCGATTTCTCCAATCGTGTTCGGATAACTGGAACTGCTTCGTTTCTTCGGATTGCATTATTTGCATTCATATGTTGAGGACTGATCGAAGTCAACGGCCTCAAAATGCGCAAGCGTTACATCTCTTTTCAGACGAGAAATCATTGATTACGTTGAGCACAATTTCAAACATTTCGACAACTGTGCTCACGGATAGAAGACTTTTGCTCAGAACCGGTCAGAGTTATGTCATCAAGTGCTTTTATCCAAGCGAATTTTAGCAAGCAGTTACCTGATGAACCGTTCGGCAGCGCCGGGTACCCCCTTTTCGATGGAAATCACTGTGGATGCTTGTTGTGCGTGTGGTCGTTCGACTTTATGACTTCTTGCTACACCAGTTCTTAAAGCCGATATTTGCACAGGTATTACGCCGGTTTGAGTTGATGAAGAGGACGGAACTGCATAGTCGTAAGCGTTCACGTTTGTATTGGCCCTAGAATGTTGGTCGTCATTTTCATAATTGTCTATACTATAAACTGCCCTTCTTCAACAGCTTATCTGCTATCGATTTGACTAAGTGATACTGATAAACATCGTAATATCATACTTCTGTTTACTTATTTGTTCATTCGGTGCTGCAGAAGTGAAGCAAGCACACAATGGTATTAATGTGAGTCTTTGAACTGGACATGGAAAGTGTTGGCAAAATTTTAAAAATCGTTTGGATGATGGAAGTGATTCAAAGATATATACAAGTGATCACATCACTAACAACGTTAAATGTGGATGCGTTCGATGAAAATCGGTTGCAGCTGCTACCGGATGATGGAAGTGATTCGAAGAAATTTGTCTTTGTGGACTAGGCGATCGCACACTGAAAGTTTACATGGAAAGATCACATTTACTCTAATCACGCAGATCATAACTGATATTTGGTGATAACAGATATGCTCTATTAGTTATAATTAAGAAATGAAGAAGTAATAAGTAAGGCGAATAAAATTTGCTCATTTCCTTTCCTCAGTGGTGCAACTGAAAAGAAAAACAAAAGCCCAAATCGGATTGGAATAATATATCTATCACAAATGACTTTTCCGAGATTCTTTCAGCGGGGATAACGCTTCGCACTTCTTCGCAGTTGCTGTTCGGCTCATTATAATAATAAGGAAGCGAAGATTTGACTAAAAATTAGCAAACCTCCCTGATGAGGTTAATAAAATAGTATCCGAACAACTCCTACATACAACTTGCCTGCACCATATCCACCTTTGTAAGGATAAGTTCTTTTGATCATTACTCATCATTATTACTACGATTATTTGGATACGATAGTCTTATCATTAATATTCTCATTCTTGGATCTGAGCATAGGCTGAGGTTTAGGTTCACATCGAGGCTGCAGCCGAACCTCAGGTAACGTTGTGGCTAGCGGTGAAGAGGAGTTCTCTGTCGGAATTAGTTTGATGCAAATTGTCGGGTTCAGTTTACTCGGGACAATTGTCCTCGAACAACATAAAACATGCGGACATTTTCGGTGAAATCGCTTCAAATTCAAGTTGTTGATGTTTCGATCCGATCATTTCAATTTTCGAAGAAACTTCGAGGACGTCCCCAGAATTTTTTATGGAACACGGATACCCGAGAAATTACATCTGAATCAAAGACAAGAAAACTGTGACGATGCCCCCGAAATTCCCCGTTCCCCGCAACACACTACTCTCTAGTAACTGCATATGTGGCTGTTATGCTCCTGGCCAAAAAGCAACAATTTTGGACAGCACTAAACTGGGAAATAGTTTTCATGATCTCCATCAATGCCCTCCAAGCAAACAAGGATTCACTGTTAAATTCAATACGGAAAATATATTCAGGTTCCACTTCCACAAACACATCACATATCTATATATACACTCTCGTGAATAGTCAATCATTTTGTTTAACAGTGATGAAATTTGCGAATTACTTGCGGAAATTATCAACGGTTCAAACGAAACCAGGAAATAGCACTTTGCACATTCCCTTGATTATACTTTATTTCATGCCGAATTATTTCCAAATCAGAACCCCATTTGTTCTTATTTCCTTAAAAAGAGAGAACGGGAATCATCACTCATCGAAATCACTGTTTACTAGTTGTTCAATCGAACATTCTACGACAAAGCTTCAGTCAAATTTGAACGAAATGTTGCTACAGAAGGATTCAGTTTTCGAGTGATATCCTATCCAAACGTATAGTGATATCCTACCGGATTCCCAGAATATGGAGGCAGAGGGTTTACCACTAATCAATTTAATTAGATCGAAGGGATATGATGAGATGACTGAATAGAAGTGAAAAGTATTACTTATATGAAGCAGGTGGACTTGGTATACGAGCCAACGGGCTATCAGATCGACTTGAACCGCTATCATCGTAGTTGTTATTGGCTGATGACGTTGATGAAGATGCGGCTGGTACCGCTTGAGATACTTGCGATGGAACATTTATATTTGCAGAATTCATATTAGGTTGTTGTTGCTGCGTAGCTTGTAATATAGATGGCGCTGGTTTGGCAGAGGAATATGCCATATTATTATTGCTAACACTATTGTTATTGATGGCATTTGCAAGTGTGGTGGGGATATTCAGAATATTAGTGTTGTTATTAACACTTAGAGGAGCAGTAGTGTACGATGGTGACGAAGTAGCCAACGGAACGGATGCAGTCGGAGCAACGGATGCATAGACACCATTTGAGAAGCGAGGCAAATCCTGCAATAAATGACAAATAAACTGACAAATCCTGACAAATAAATGACAAATCCTGCAAATCCTTCAATAAACTTCTCGTAAACAATGTGTTTAAACGATAGTGCAGTTTACGCTTGCAAAATCATCTCATTTCAACAACTAATTAGCATTGCAATTCTCAGGAACATAATTCCGTTCCCATTCGGGATTGCCGACAAACGAAGTGTATTCTGGCTCAATCGCAGAATCTTGCCAATTGTATACACTTCAATGAATGAAAATGAATGCGAAAACGGTGGCACTTTTGAGAGTGAATAAACAAATGCGCAATGAATGAGTGTCAGAAATTTCAACACTAAACGTTTAAAGTTTATGGTAAATACGATGAAAATTGTTTGAGAGCGAGAAAGACTGATTGTGATGCGATTTGACGAGTCCAATGGAAGAAGACAACTGAAACATGAATTGATTTGTTGGAAATTTCGCTTGGTGTCCAGTCAAAGGTGGTGGATGCGTACCTGCTGGAAAACGTGATCTTTGTTTATATTCAGCAACACTTCAGCGGCTGCCGCTACACTCGAAAATCTTACCAACTGCAACGCCAACATAGCGGCCTCCTGAAAAAACAATTTCTGAAAACGAGCTTTTAACGAAGATTTTGGCATGAGGATTCATTGAGCGCATACATTCCTAGTGTCAGATTTAAATTCGGTTTTCAGGAATGAACCCAATTATCCATTTGAACGAGCGAGCCATTTGTTACATGAATCACAGACAGTTAAAAATTTAACGTTGCAAGCGGTTTTGTGAACCCAACTGTGAAATCGGTTGAAATGATCAAATGCTGAACTTATTCTAACAGAACCCCTTTCAATATTGCATGAGTTACCAGAAGCTGTGATCATTTTCGCAGCCAATGTTTGGAATAATTTCAGTCGTATACATGAATGCAAGAGACGACAAGTTTTGAGTTCATGGAACAACTGTTCAAGTGGTGCATCGCAATAGATGATGCAGAAGAAAGGTGAGCGAAGCACCTTTTCAAAACCAATCTGTGTGAGCGTATTCAGCATTATTTGACGTCGCATTTCATCTTCGGCATTGTTGTTTGCCACATTGTTATTGATGATATTATGTGCTTGAGCAGTGGCTCCATCAGAGCTACACGCTTGTTCGAATGGCCGCAACGAATCTCGAATTAGCTCCAGTTTGTCGCGATGCCTTCCGACACCAACCCGAACATCCTTAAAATAATTTAGCTATCGGCAGTGATGATCAAAGTGTGAAACTGATATCACAAAGCTGTCAACCATTCCCGCTTAATGCGAATATCATTCTGGTGCTGATACCTGAAGTCCTTATACTCACATCTCGTATCTTATATCATACTTGGTATATCGTATGTATATTAACTGGAGCATTTACAATGTCTGGTCAGTAAAACTAGTTTGACTGAAGTTGGCATATGATTTCAATGCTATTACATTATGACTGATTGTAGTATTGGAACATGTGCTTCAGTTAGTGCTTGCGACAAACAGCTGAAAGATTCTTTGGGAACGACTGCAATCATGCAGATATCAATGAAAGTTCTATAATAAGTGAAACGAGTACTTATTAAGTGCATATGATCGAAGGATTAAACAAATATTCTTGAGTGCATTGCTATGATTAAACACATTCAGTTGCATTTATTGTCACTTTCAATTCACTCATTAAAATATTAACTGAAAGACCTGATTGTTCACATTTCCAGTCAACGATTTGCTCTGAACTGTAAGATCTTATAGTTAGCATAATAATTTCAAAAGATCCAATAGAATTTGCAGCGATTAAGAACAAATTACTGTCTGTCACTGAACTATCTCTGAGACAAATGGCTCTATATGAACTCCAATAAGCGCATCAATTCAGATTGGACTCGAAACTAACCGGAGTAACATCCTTTCGAATCCTCGGCGATGGTTCGGGTGTTCTCAGCGTTATACCGACAGCACCGGACGAAGGCATTTGAATCGGATTACTGGTACTCGCTGTAGCAGGTCGATGTGGTGGAATCATTTCGAATCAATTCCACAATCATCTAATCAAATTCTTTGATATTTCAACAGTTTGATGATACTCCACATTCACGGACTGTCAACAATATATTCTTGTTTGATTATCAGAATTTAGCAGCCTCAGATTCGAAATCTCGAAGAGCTTGCTGAATAAACAGAATATCCCTCGGCTGAGTTCAATATCAGTGCTGTGAAATCGTTTCCGATTTCCGATTATTAGTGCGTCCAATCAATTCAATAGCAATGAGAAACTTTCATTGATTGCAACCTGAGACTTCTTTGATGGGTACACGAACGAATAAAATGCACAAGGAAAGAATATGAAATCAGAACAAATCAGAAGCAATCAGCAAGCATAAAATGAAGAAGTTCTGTGATATGTTGTCGGGGTGTGGCAACATCTATCGCACACAAAATCACAAAGTATCACATAATCACATTCGCTATTGCGATAAAGCGATGTGAATGCAAAACTGATAAATATCAACGGAACTATTCGAAAAAACGGCTGAATTTTTGAGATATTGATATGAACTGAAAAAGACAAAAAAATTAAATATCTTCTTAAGCATACTCATGTAAAGCATCATGAACGCGGCGTCGTTCGATACAAAAATGCATTCATATTACGTAACACATAAATTTTCGAAAAAATTAGTTCGCTACCTACAAATGCGTCTAAGATAACGAACTGATTCATTTTTATTCCAAGATAATGTTGACGATATCATTTGCAAACCGAATATGAACGCAATCACAAAATTACATCATAGATACAGAGCAGAAAACGCAATAATCAGCACCACAATGTCTAGAGGATAAAGAATATCATATAAGCTTTCTATTGGTTTCTTCCAGATAATAGCAATTATTGTTACAGCAACCTTTCATGAAAATAGTTTCATTTCAATCACAAAGTGAAATTTTTGAAAATTTTTCCAATTATCTGCCTCACTACTATTGGTCCATAGTTGCACGAATGTCAACAAACATAGATGTTATGGACATTAAAGGAACCGTAAACTTTCGTTTGATTCGGCAATTCCTAATCGAGGTTGTGATGCCATACCTCGAGTTCTCTGAGTTTATATCAGGTTTTACTAAACCATCGAAAAACACTGACAAAGTCGAAAAATCTCACTGACAAGAAAGATAATGAAGCATTACTAATTCAGTTCAATGATATCAACGGAAACGTTTCATCGATGATCATATCAGATGTTCTCCGAAAACACAATTAGGCACATATGGATAGCACTATTAATAACTTCCAAGTAATATTGCAGTGTTACTAGAATGGTGCGTTAACCCCTCATCAAAAAGCGAAAAGAAACGAACGAAATATCACAAGGTTAAAAGTGTGTATTGATGTGATTAAAAACTGAATGCAATGGAAACGAGTGGAATGTATCAGGTGTTTTGAGACGTTGTGGAATGTTGAAGAATGAAGAATGTAGCAGACCAAAAACAACAAGAATGCATTCATTCAAAGTGCTAAAAATTCCTTCAGAACCAATCATTTCAACAACAAAAAATCATCACGTTTCGTTTGATGCCTTGTTTATTGGTGTGGTATTATTTTTTGGGATGTTATTGCAAGCAATATCTATTCCACTAGAAAATATCTTACAATAAACAATTTTGCCAGCTAAGTGGTATCATCCTACACTTCAACAGTCATTTCGAGAAATTCCACACATGGAAATTTCTCATTTGAAGAAAAATCTTTACATCTGAGCACGGCTGATTCCTAGCAATTACATATCACCAACAAACAAAAAACACAAAATACACCTCAGTCAATAACGCATTCCAGAAAAATTTCCAAAGCGCATTGGTTGTTCTTAAATATTAGTCAAATTTCAAAATCAGTTCATTCATTATGATAAATCATTCCCCTAATGAAACAGCAGTGGAATTTTAGAACATGGAAATCCTAACACCGCTACCATATCATAGGATAACGGGGAGTGAAGCAATAAATGCACTGATGATATTTTCAGAGCAGAAATTGTTAAAATGAAACAAAACAGCTGAGTAGTACAACAAAAATAAATCAAATTCCAATGCATTCATAAAGCAAACAATAAAAAATGCACACATTCTAACTCAACTTCTTATAACTCGAATTCCTTCGCATACAAACGCAACAATAACACCATATATCATCCAATCTCGCACTAACCATTTCTACTAAATCTGACTCAACTGATTCGTGCAACAATAGTGCAACATCTCTTTATATATCGAGAACATCCGATTTTGAAAGAATTTCATCTGACTGTCGATTAGATATAGTTACTACTTTCTGCTCGCCAGAGAATTGGTTTTGATGATGAATAATTTTATTTGAGCGAAGTTCTTCTTCGCTGAATTTTTCTTCGCTAAAGTTCAATTCGACATTCTTTTGGTGTTTCAATGATTACTAAAAAGAGCTGAGTTCATGTTCAAGATAAACATACAGATATTCATCGTTGTCAGCTCAAAAAACTCACTATTGCGATAAATGAACAAAAAGCTTAACTGATGATAGGTATTGAATGTCAAAGTCGAAATGCGGATTAACATTCCTAAACAAATTTCTTTCTTGACTGAGTCCTGCTTTTCGTAGACAGCGTTTCTCTCTGAAAAGACTTTGAGCCTAGAATATTGAGAATCTCAAACAGATAACGCTGAACTCTTTCCGAGAATTCAGCGGAATTTCTTATTGGATTACGGGCAGGCTTCCCCTCACCCTACCTAACATCATGATTTGATTTTGTGACTGAAAAAATATGAGTGAATTTGATCGAACTCAGTGATATGAGAATAAGAATTCTTGATGTCAATGCCGCTCTGAGATAAACCACAATAGAAACTGCTGCATGCTGAATGAGGTTACCAATTTAAATTTTGAAATCCAGCATGATACTTTCATTGCACTGAACGAGAAAGATTTGTAAATGAAAGAATGACTTGAAAGATGGGATTTTTACATCGGCTGCAGTAGCAAACGATATGGGAATGGAAGTGAAAGGTAATCAACAGAGCAATTTGCATTGATCGATACGCTTTAATCATTATTCGATTATCAACGCAGATGATACGATACATGCATGAGATATGCTACAACTTCATCGAAATCGCTGTTTTGTTCCGTAACGATGCACCACCAAACAGCACACAAATAAGATGCATCACAAGATGAATGTCATCGATTTTATGTTATATCTCATCTCTTCCTATCATCTTCATAACCTTAATTCAGTATCAACCACATTGAAAAATTATGATGATGCGATTATATCACAATCGATCAATCGTTTGCGGCTCATCACCTCTTTTCCTTTAAAATTCCAACAACTTCAATCTTGTTTAAAACTTCATTGATTCAACATTATCTTCCTAAAGTGAACATTTCACAATATGATGATGGAGAAAATGAGAATTTTAGACAAAAAGGTGGCTTTTGACTTGCATTAGAGGAACGGTTTTTCATATGTATAAGATGTGAAGGCTATAACGGTACCATCTGTAACTGAATCGATGCGTAATTTCGCTTACGTCAAAGACCTCATAAAGATTGAAGATCAACTGAGTTTCTCGTATAAAAATTTCCAAAAGCGTTTCGATTTTATCACGCATTTGTTTGATGAATGATGCGATGATACACTTTCATTCGCTGATACAAAGGACTCAGATCGGTACGCAGATATTTACAGAAGTCGGAGCGAAACTGTACACAAGAAAATCATGCAACATCAAGGAAGCATTGTGGCTGCTACCCATAAGTAATCAATTGTCATGTCACGTTCAGATAGTGAACTCAGCTTGACCACTCAAACAACTTTTCCGCCTATTTCAAGAGTCGTACAGTAAATCAAAGCTCACTCCTCTTTACCATCGGCAACTTGGTAAAGAACAAATGAATCACAAATTCTTTGCACATTTGGATTCTCATTTTGCACTCTAAATTCTCGCCGTAATCGCTTATTGTTGTTAGATATTTCGTTTCCATCGAACAACGACGTCCCTCACATGCAAATGAGAGCAAGCACTGCAAGAGACAATTCATTCAAGTTTCAAATTTTCAACGTAACAAATATTTGACGACTTGATTGATTTTTCACCTGGTGCCGTTGACAAGCGCTCTTTTCAGCTGTTCGTTTTTCAACTTCCTTTGTTCGTCGCTTCAGTATTTGCACACAAATTCAGCATTTAAAAAGCAGCACTTCAAAGGAGACGACGACTGCCGACTATTTCATCACTATAAAATTCATTTTACCCGTCCATTCAACAATGCAAAAATTCCACAATATCTGCTGACATCATCTTTGTTTGATTTGTTTACGTGGTGCCGCCGCTTGTTTCGCTAGCGCTTTCGTTAAACTATCGTTGAAAAAAATATTCTGTATTGATAACTGCTGCTGCTTGCATCTTTAAGCAGTGCTTCACATGACGCTCTATAAAAACGTCTATTTATTTATCTGCAAATACTGGTTGATCATAAATTATTCAGATTGTTCTCTCATAATCGTTTTTGCAGCAGGCTCAATCGATTACGCTTATAAAAGCATACAACTGCGTTCATCTGCACTAAATTATAGACCATAAATTATTGATGAGAGCAGCATTCTTTCATGTGCAACATCACAATATCAACAAGTTTGATAGCGTTTTGTGCATTGCTTAATAACAAATATTATCGATAATGAAACTGCCAATGGCACATGTCGCCACTACGGCGGATATTCATCCAAAAATTTGGTCAATTTTGCATCCAGGCGACATTATGTCTGTTGTTTGAAAGTTTGTATCAGTGTTCGTGACACCATAGTATACCATATCTTCATCATGATAAAACTAAACCAATTCTGATAAGCAAAGAAGGAGATACGCTCGGATGAAACGAATCTGTTTCAGTAACATGATGCCACCCTTCCGTTTAGTCGTCTATAAGCGACAGATCGACAGTGATCAAGATCAAGAACGATCAGCTGTCACCAATCACTATCATTATCG